TCAGAGGCAGACTGATAGCTTGGCTCTGTTTCTCTGTCTCTGACCTCTAGCACTAGGGCATCTCAGGCCCAGGCTGAGGCAAAGAACAAGGAACAGAAATCCCAGCACTTCCCATCAGAAATATTGTTCTGCTCCAGATAAAATGGCCTGTATGATGGAAAGCTGAACTTTCCTAACTTTTTTTTTCCAAAGAGGAGTTTGGTAGTAAGTAAACATTTGATAAAGTTTTACTCAGCACCAGTCACTCTGTAGTCCATTTGCTCCATGATGGAAACTAAGCTGCAAGAGCAGCCAGTTTTCATTGTATTTTTGATGTCACTGAAAAAAACTACACCTTGTTTCTATGCTCATTGTCCATTTTATCAGCTCCTCTTACTATAAAGATGCACTTTGTAGTTCTACAATTACAGACTGTAGTCCTCTCTGTGAGGGTCCATGGCGGTCCTGACCACTGAAGAACAGGGTAAAAAGGGGCCAACAAAGTATGCAGAGAAACAGATGGACTACAGTCTGCAATTGTAGAACTACAAAGTGCACCTATATAGTAAAAGGAGCTGATAAAATGGACAATGAGCGTAGAAACAAGGTGGGCATAATGCCTGATCGGTGTATGTCTTCCTATTCAGCCTACAGCAGTTTGGCCCTGCGCATTCATACTGACGCTGTAAGGAGGGTTACAGCTCTGAGTGCTCTTTTTGAATGAGACAGCCAATCAGAACAGAGCTCATTTGTATTTTCAGTCACAAAAAAGAAACTGTAACAGAAAAGCTTGTTTAATTCTAAGAAATTAAGAGAGGTTAGAAAATGCTCATGTAGAAATAAGTTATGACTTTGGTACATGAAACCAGTCGAGTTTGGCTTTGACAGTGGTATGAATTCACATGCAATGCGTGATGGTTGTATTGTTCTGGTACGGTCTTTTGTTGAAATTGGTTTTCAAGCAAAGATTTTTGAGCAACAATTTTGAAGAAAATGTAACTGCAGTCATTGACATGTGCCTGAGTGTGTGACAGCATACCCCAATGAAAAAAATCAATACTTGGTTCAAAAATACTGAACTAGCCTTTCAGTAATTCTTTCTTTGGCTGTTTAGGTTTTTTTTGTAGAAGTTTCGAGAGTCTATTGACTTCTTAACTCTGCTCTTCTAACTATATATAAGTGAGGATAGAGCTGGAGTATTGATGTGTCCTCACAGCGCTGTCTGTGAGCACTTTGTCATGGCTTCCCTTTATCCTTTTCACAGCTCCCCAGTATGTGAACTAAGATGTGGTGTAAATAGTTGTCATGAGCTCACTTTAAAACTGTCAATTAGGGCTGCACAGCAATAAGTATTGTATTTTTTTAATTTTAATCGTTCATTGGCTATTGAGGTATGCAAATATGCAAGTTAGTCAGTGGATTTTACAGTGGAGTACATCTAGACTATTCAAAGACCCTGCTCACTCCAAGGCTAGATATATAACAGTTTATACCTGCCGTTCCCATGTATTTTTAATTGAATTGGATTTTGTCACATTTACTATCTCTCTCTGCTTTTATTGTCGGAAATAAGAAATTAATCAACTAATCCTTGTCCTCATAGATGTAAAAGCTGTTAAGAACGTTTAGCAGTCGCAAAGATAGTTAATGCAACTTATAAACAAACCAATAAGGAAACAAAAAAGAAGCTACACCCAGCAGCTGTTTTTGTCTCCTCTGTGATAAGGTTGTTGATTAGACGTCCTTCCATGCTATTAGAGATCCATCAGGACGCTTAAGCATTCACAATACAAATGTCTTGTAGTCAAATGCATCCCTGAGGTGGTTTGAGTGATCACAGTGCATCTCAGAGGCTCACTGGACCTTGTTCACACCGGTACTTGGCACTGTCCACTTGTGATCAGATCACCGAGGATGCATGTTAATGCCAGGTCTAAATGTGGATAGATGAGTGTTTCTGAGGATGTTTTGCTGAATCATGGTATTCATGTAATCCATCAACAGTAAATTATTTCGGGTCAAAATATGTTTTCTTTACAATTTCAATGGCCTTTCTTTACAATGTCACATTACTGATTCACCAGTGCATTTTTAATCCATTACAGGGTAAATTGCAAACACAAAATGTTGTCATATAATTGCAATACTAGTATTGTTTCACTATTCTGCCTGTAGCCCTACTCTAAATGCCGACACCTGGTGATTCTGATGCTAGACCAGTGACCCTGAAATATTCATTTGACCAAGGTCCCTACTTCAGTAATTAGGTTTTGACCAAGTGGAGAGCAGTACATTTATTCTTTTTAACCATCACCTCTAACTGTTCTTTCTCACTATGATCACTCTGAGATGAATCATTTGGACTTTAACCGAGGTAGGCCTGCCAGATCTTGATCTTTTGAGCATCATCTTATCTCAGACTCCTCGCAGCACACTGATTCCATGCCATGTTTCATGTGGTGGGATTAGTGTGGCTCACCGATCACTAATGTGAACCAGAGTTATTGTGGTAAACTACAAAGAAAACTGTTACAGAATTTCTTTTTTGTTAGATGGAAAAACAGACATTAAACAACAATAAGGATAACAGTTAAAACTAGTGTAGTTTAAGAAATAGTGAAAAATATTTGTTGGACTTAGTAAGTAATCAGTATCGGGGTACAAATGCTCTACCACTAAATAACAACTGCTATTTTTTCATTCTAATGAGAAGAATCTTCAGACCCTTTAAAAAATGCTGGTAGATGTAGTCTGACTACTAAAAAAGATTGATGTCTGAAAATTCAATGAAGACATTAAAAATCAAAGAAATTAAAACAAAATAGGTCCTAAAAAAATCAGTGTTTCACAGGGAAACAAAGAACACATACATTAAAACACAGCTATTATCAGTGTGGTTCTGCTGTTATGCCAGGCCTGCCAAGAGAGCATTGTCAATACAAACTGTCCAGCTGTTCTACTGCTGAGTGGTTCACTGAATTTCCATCACTCTCTCTTGGCAGTGCTAATGGAACAGAATCCATTCTTCTACATATTCACCCATTGTCTGTGGTACATATCCAGGGATAACAGAGTATCTACATTAGTAAACATATCCACAGAGAAAGTAATCAAGGGGTAGTCTTGAGTGGTATTGGTGTATACACACACACACATACATATATATATATTTATTTATATATATATATATATATATATATATATATATATATATATATATATATATATATGTGTATATATATATATATATATATATATATGTATGTGTGTGTGTGTGTGTATATATATATATATATATATATATATATATATATATATATATATATATATACACACACACACAATATTATTATATTGGTATATTATATATTGAGCGGTATTATATATTACATTTTCCAAATGTGTCACTGTATCATAGTGTGAGATCTAAATTTGTTCGAATTGGACTGTGTTGTTCTGTTCTGCTCCTCTAGGCTGTTTTCACACCTAGTTTGCTCGCTAAATTTGCACCAGAGTTCAAGTTTTTGACATTTGGTTCGGTTCGTTTCATCCTGCAATATGATTCAACATGAGAAATCAACACCAGAGCATAATTTTCTCAAAGCACCTCAACGCTGTACTGCCTGCCTAAACTGCATGTTTTATCATTATACTATTGACAGAGGCTTGTAATGTTTTAGCAGCGCAAGCTGCTGCTTGTAAGAGAAGATTAGCAAAAGTGGAGTATTTGATTTTTTCACTTGCAGAAAATGTTTGGTTGGGTCAGACATTGGTGACCAAATTGATGAGTAATTAAACCAATCATAAAGTCAAATAGATCAAGTAAGGTTTAGATTTTATTACTCTTATTGTGAGATTAAGTAGATATTAATCTTGAGATTAAGCATTAATCTTTGTTTTCATGCAACATTATGGCTATGATAATGAATTTATATCAAGAATATAAGTTTAACTTCTATACTGATACAGATGGTGTATCACTCAGCATTATAAAGGAGTTGTACTGAGTGTTTTGTCATGAGCGGGATAAGTTCTAGACATGACCATGACCGTTTATGAAGCACAACGTCAACATTTTTACAGTTGTGTGCACTTTGCCACTCTCCATTGTGCCGCAACACTTGTTTGCAGTGAGATTAGATTTGATGAAGTGATTTGCGCTCCCAACTGGGGTTAAGCGGTGCGTCCCTGAGCTGAGTCACAGGTACATCTTCTCCTCAGTCCCTGCGTTTCTCTGCAGCGCTGGATGCCGCTGCCTGTTGAGTCGAGCGCTTTGGCGAGTTCAAGTCCCAGCTCTGCCCATGTGGCGGGGCTGGGTGGTTGGCACGGTGACTAAAGGGGAGAAATTTAATTGCTGTTAAGGCTGCAGCAGATGGTCACAGAGGCAGATAACGAGAGAAACACAGCCTATTTATAAGTGGACTTTTATGACTTCCCAGCATGCGATGAGCATGCACTTCCCTTTTAAATAAATGTGTCTCATTATGTGACTTATTGGAAAGGAGCTTATAATTGGTGGCACTACACTACAGAAGTCAGGAGCAATAAGATGCTAGGTCAGTCTCTGAGGTCACCGTGCCGTGCCATGTCATCCCGATCTTAGTTGTTATTTGTAAGCTTATAAGGCTGGGCAGCGCCATTAGTAGCAGAGAAATGTGTGAAAGCAAGAGTGGGAGTGTGTACGCTGGAGGTATTACGGCCGTGATGGTGATGGCATGTTATAATTGTGATTGTTTTGGCTGGTACGATTTGCAATTAACAGAGATTGCACATTTCAGTACATGCAGTAGTCACATGTCCCCTCCATGGAAACACCTTTGATCCATTGGAGCACTCAATGGAAATGAGTCAGAGCACTCGTGAAACATCTCTCTCTCTCAATACTGTTTAGTTCATTTCATTTGGTGGTTTATTCATGATGTAATGCTACATTTGTGTTTCTAAATCTTACAAAGGCTTACAAAGAATATTAAAGGACATTATAATTCTAACTCTCTGTCTCTTCTTTACTCCTCTCCCAGGTTTGGATTAATGGTTCTCTCCATCATGCTGGTGGTGGTGGGCTGGTTTCAGTTTGCGTGTGTCTGAGCTCCACTGGCCCGCTGGGATGAACATGCCACTGCATCAGATCTCTGTCATCCCCCGGGATGTCACTTCCTCCAGGGGGTCCGGCAGCAGCGGGAAAGCTAAGGACAAAGACCGGGACAAACAAGTGAGTCTTAGCCACACCATCTCTCTCTTTCTCTTCCTCACTCTCTACACCTCTTCCTTCACAAGGCTTCGGCCTGTTGGCGCTGATCCTCTCTGGGGTCAGTGCACTCTGAATGCACTCTCTGCTCTCTGATGTCAGACTCTCTCTCGCGCTCCTCGACAGGCCATGTAAACACCCCTTCGCGTTTATTGCTTTTTGTTTTGGTGTTTGTGAAACTATAGGACTTGGAGGAATCGCCCTGTTTTATTCCATGCTGTGGTGTAACCCCTCAGTTTCGGGTTTTATCTGTGATAAGGGAAGTAGGTGAACTAGAGGAAGTCGGACGGGAGGGGGAGTTGGGGGAGAGCCGGTTTCCAGTAAGAGAAGTTGAGCGGGGTGACTGGGCGAAACACAGTGTGATGAAAAGTAGAAGAGAAAATTACAGGGCTCGTGCTGTGTGTTGGGCTGCATTCACATTACAGTGTATAAGCGGTTGTTACAAGTGGATTCGGATAAAGTCTGAATTATTTACTGTTTATTTATTTTATTTTTTGCCTTAATTTGTCTGAGATCAGACTTTTTTCATAACTGTGTGAACACACAGATCTTTTTTTTTAATTACTAATTCATTTTTTTTTGTTTTATATTATATTTTGAGCACTTTCCTGTGTGGTCCCAGGTTATATAAATATTCAGTATGTGACCATGTGACCTTTTTTAAAAAACATATAATTATTCATTTCACGTCAAACATCACTGTTTTTGTTCACGTCACTGTCGTCATCACCCAGTGTCAGCAGCTAAATTGATGGTAAAATGTGCCTATGTGACTAGCGAATAATCACTTGGATCTAAAGAAAAAAAATCAAATTAAGCTGGAAGCCTTATAATGTGAATGTACGTGTACAGTTGTATGCAAAGTTTGAACTCCCCTGGTCAAATGTTTTGTTGATTTTCCAAGTGAAAATAAGTTAACAAATCCTCTATAGGGGAACTTAAATATAGCACTTTTCTGCACATTTTAGTGCACAGTTTCTGTTTGCTTGGAGAATTTAACATATTGGAAACAAAGAAAAACATTAAATATAAATATGCCATAACTTTTTCATAGGCCACCTTTTATGTTATGTTAAACCCAATATGTTAAATTCAGCAAATACACAGTAATTGTGCATTAGAATGTACAGAAATGTGGTCTCTGTAGAGGTTGTGTTAACTTGTTTTCACTAACAATTAATTAATTTTATAAATTACTGTAAATTTTTGTTTTGTACCTCTGAAGGAAAACGCTGCATAAGCCTAGAAGGTCATATCTACCTCAGAAGTCAATTTCAAACTACAGCCTACAGATGATTTGAGGAACAAGGCTTTTAGTGTGAGCGCAGTCTTATTTTGTTGTCCAAAGCTACCTTGAAACAAAAGCTTCTGAAATCCTCTCTGCCTCACCCACCCCAGAGCTGGAGAATGTGGGTTAAGACGAGGATTAGTGCCCGGGGGAGGCTGTATGGTGGTCTGCAGAATCATTAGGGCTGCAGGCCTGTTGCGATGCCCGCTGGGCTGGGCTCATCTCAGCAGCGTAATGACAGATAAGGCCGTGTCAGGCCCGCGTGAGGCCAGATGTTCTGCAGGATCGTGGCTTGAGCTGCTCACCGGCCAGCTTATCAGCTGACAGCACTGTGGTCTGATATGCTGTGTTTCTGTGGATTTTCTTTGTTTGCGGATTGAAGAATTTTTTTTTGCTGAGTCAGTGGTTCATAGCACGCTGGCGCGTGTTTGAGCTCAATATTTGCTCGCTTTTTTCCCTCTCTAAGTTCTGCGGCCATGCAGGAAAGGCAAAAAGCCCTCAGCTGCACCTTCTGTTCTACTCTTGCAGATTGTTTGAGGAAGGTGATTGGAGGATGACACTAATAAGTGTGCTGTCAGTGACCAGCCCAGGGCTGCCAGCACCTGTCACAGTCGAGCAGGAAATGGGAGATGGGCCATTTTTTGCCTGAACGGACTTAAATAGCAGGAAGTTAATGCTTAAATACAGGCATGTCAGTCAGTGCTTGTGGACCGACCATTTCAGAGAGTTCTGCTTCTACTGTGCACAGCTTTAAATAACCATTAGATAAACAGCTGAATAGCAGATTCTAAAGTGCTGATAGTGTTACTCTGAAATATGTCTCAGACCGTACCATTTTTATGGTACAGTCTGATTTTAATGCCTGAATAAATATATATTTTTTTAATAACCATGAAGTCATTTTGATCTAAAGGCTTATACCTTTTATTTCCCGAAAAATGTTTAAACTCTCAGCAGATGGCAACTTCTAGACTGCTGGAAAAGTATCCCAGGTGACTTTGCATCAAACTGCTATAGAAAGAAGCATCAAGGCAAAGCAGGGCTAATTTGAAGAAAACATGGCATAAATATGAAAATGTAACATTTAATACCTTTTGCTCTCTGCATAATTCTAAATAAGTCTAATTATTCTAAAATGTTTAAAATACTAAAAAGAAAAAAGCTGTGTAGATGTGTCCAAACCTTTAGCTGGTACTGCACATTCTGGTTTATTATTTAATGCCTTTATTATTTTTTATTATTTAATGCCTTTATTATTTTCCTGATTCATTTGCCAAGTGCAGCTGACTTGACCATTGCCCAGCTGACTACCATGTTCTTGGCAGAATGTGTTGATTGTCACGTTGGCTTGTTTCAGTTTGAGTTGGAGCACTCAGCCTCTCTCTGGGCCATGATAAGGCTCCAACAGGCTCCCGCCCAAGTGGCCCGAAACAAAAGATATGCTAAGACAATGTGCTGCTCAAGCAGTGCTGTTTGTATTCACATACAATAGAGCTTTGACCTCAAGTGCTGCAGGTAGTCAGCCCAGATGCTTTCGAGTGGTCTCTTGCATTGTCCCTGTAATGAAACGATTGTCATTGAAATGCACTGTAGTTTTACCAGGCTCAGTCAACACAGATTCTCCTTCAGTTTGCTGTTTTTGGCTTTAAGGCTGTTACTGTGAGGGTGAAATTAACACAGCTGAGCGTGAACGTGAGTATTAGTCACTGGAACAAAGTAATCAAACAGAGGGGCAATCAAAGGGGCAGAGGAACACCAAAAGAGCAGCACGCTGAGCAGAAGATGGACAGGGAAACACCCAGAGAGTAGCACTTAAAGCAGTAGAGGGGCAGTGATACACGCAGGGAGCAGCACACTGGAAAATAAAGGGACAGGGAAACACCTAGAGAGCAGCACGCTTAACGATAGAAAGAGAGGAAGCATCCAGAGAGCAGCACCCTGAACGATAGCAAGGCAAGGAAATATAAAGAGAGCATCAAACTGAACAATAGAGGGGCAGGGAAACACGTATAGAGCAGCATACTGAACGATACAGGGGCAGAGAAAAATCCAGAGAGCAGCACACTAAATGACAGAGGGGTGGAGAAAAACCCAGCAAGCAGCACTTTGAACGATAGATGGGCGAGGAAACATGCAGAGAGCAGCACACTGAGCAATAAAGGGGCAGGGAAACATCCGAAGAGCAGCATGTAGGTGATAGAGGAGCAGGGAAGCATCCACAGATCAGCACACTGAATGATTGAGGGACAAGGAAACACCTAGAGAGTGGCACCCTGAATGACAGAGGAACCGTTAAACGACAAGAGAGGGGTCTATTATGCTCATTTTGAGCGTTCATAACTTTATTTTTGGGGTCTACGAAAATAGATTAACATGCTTCAGTTTCCAGAAACACATTGTTTCTCATACATCTCTATTCATCTCTATTCACCCTCTGACTGAAACGCTCTGCTAGAGCTCCTGTGTCTTTAAGCTCCGCCTTCCGATGAGCCCTGTGTGCTCTGATTGGTCAGCTTGCCCACTCTGTTCTAATTGGTCAACCACCAGGGTGGTTCTGCCCCTACACGTTCATCCCCTTTTTTGCACTCTGCACACAGACCCTTCTCTCCTGAGCAGATGTAAACAGCTGTGTGGCTGTTTTTCTAACTGCGTTGGTTCTGTCGTATCAGTTTGAGACAAACTTTTCCCAGCTCCCAGTACTTGCTATGCATTGCGTGAGTGTGCTAAGCTTGCCGGTAGTTGGACAATCTTTATTGTCCAACTACCGGCAAGCTTAGCACACACTCACACAATGCATAGCAAGTACTGGAGGCTGGGAAAAGTTTGTCTACATCATCCTGTGACAAAGGGATTGAATTATAACACGGTGTTTCAGACAGCTGAGAAAAGTGGTGTCTGTGGGAGAGAGTTGCTCTCTCTTGCGTGTGCTTTAAGCTTTGTAACTTTGCAGAACGTTTATATGCTCCAAAAGCTGTATAACACACTAAAGGAAAGGGAACACTAGAAAAGGACAGTAGTTCCCCTTTAAAGAAATGTTTAAAACATTTAGAAAAAATGCTGACTTGTCACATCCCTGTGTGTGGTTCACTATCTTTCCCATTCCACCTGGAACTCTCTGTAAATGTTAGGACCGAGGCATGGCTGGAGGGCACGGACACGTTCCCCACTCCGCCAGCATGCAGATGAGTGAAGAGTGACGGCTGGCGCTCAGTCAGAGAGAGCACATCCCATCTGCCTATTGCAGACAACTCCTCCTCTGTGTGTCCATGGAAAAAAAAAACCCTTCCCTCTGCTTTAGATTCAGCGTCAGCTGCCTTTCACGCACAGAGCGCTCCCAAATGTTCTCTGCAGAACAAGTAGCCCAAATGTCACATATATGGGGGAGTGCTTTCATTTCTTTTGTTGCTTGTTGGCTGCTTCATTGCATGCATCCAGCCATGAAGGAGCTGGATCTGAAAGAGTTGGGTTTATAAAAAAAAAAACCTGCTCCTTGCAAGTAATGCTGAATTCATCATGAAGCAGTTACGCAGCCCCAGTGTGCTGTAATACATATTGATGGCATTATTAATGACATTACTGCCTTGATTAGTATGTGATTCAGAGCGTTTGATGTCGACTGAGTCATGTGATGCTCGGTTTGGACACATCTAAAGCACTGAGCAGGGCTCAGAAGGAG